ATGTTACTGTTTCATTGGTTCAGTTAGGTGTTCATTAGGTATAAACTATAAGAAATTTGTAAATAAATTATTTAACAAAAATATTCATAATGTCATAAATATATATGAACATATAAAAAAGAAAACTACTAAAATTATTTATAAAAACACAGAAATTGAATTAAAAATGTTGTACCTATAAATCGAAAGATAAAAACTGTATCCTAATAATATAATAACATAATATTAAACCAATACTATTATACAATGTATATATATATATATATTTTTAAAATTTGCACTCGATTATTATAAAAATGTTTAAAAATATAAATATATATAATTCTTGAAAATTTAGTATATTTAATTAAAAAAAAAAAAATGGATTAAGTGAATAGTAACAATGGGCTGAATAGGCATCATATAGTTGAGTTTGCATCAATGGGGTATTTCTTAATTATAAATTTGGCACTAAGAAATACCAAGGATGACTGCAAAGTCATAAGGGGAGGGTAGCCAAATGAGGTAGAAACATCTCAACCTCTAAAGTAGGAAGTCTACATGGTATTTGTTGTGAGCTAAATGGCAAGAAGGTATGTTTTTAGATTGCACCGTTTTACTCCTTATTGTTATTCCATTTTTCATATTTCAAATTAAAAAAAAATACGTTACGAAAATCCTTACAGGTACAGAAATTTTATGAATACAGTCGATGCAGAAATTGAACCTACCCATCCGGCGAGCTAAGTCGCAGCCAGACCATCTTGTACCACAGCTGCCCGATTGACTCTTTCTGTGAAAATATTCCAGAGTTACCACGACCTAATATTGAATCCCGAATACGAAGTTATTTAAATAAATCTGCTAGCCATATATCGTCATCATAAATGCAAACGGACTTAATTACAGGAAAATCGAAATTGACCTTTTGTTTGATTATTGTTTGTCTAATCAAACTTCATGTTCACACAAAATTTTAGACATCTAACGTCAAAAAGGCGATGCTATTAAAGAAATTCAAACGGACGTAACTACAATAGTATGTTTTTATTAATGCAAACGAAACTTAACACACATCACTCTAGACTCAATTCAGTACGCTATGCTTAATTTCGTGCAAATAGAAAAAATAGAGGGGCTTTAATACACCATTTCCACAAAATCTGACGAAAATATGTGTGGGACCTATGTCTAAATCTGATCCGATTTCAACAAAACTTAATACAAGTCACTCCGGTCTCAATTTGGTAGGCTGTACAAATTTTAGTCTCAATCGGTCCTTTTGTTTCAGAAAATATCAAGTCAAAAGGACGTAACATAAAACCTTTAAAAACAAAAAAAAATACATTTTTTTCAAAAAATAAATACGGATTTTAGTCTTAATCGGATAATTATTATTCACTTTGTTGTACTACAATTGTGTTGTAGTTACGTCCTTTTGTTTCAGAAAATATCAAGTCAAAGGACGTAACATAAAACCTTTAAAAACCAAAAAAATTCGAACAATGCATCATTTTCATAGATTTTAATAAGGTTTTTGCTTTTCCCGTAAAATGTCTTTGTTTGGATTTAGTTCATTGCACAATTCAGACAATAACCACTTTAAAAAATTTTCTGATGAATCTTTGAAATTCTTATCAAATATTTATATTTAATTTAAGTAAATTAAAAAAGGCCAAGATAATTCTGGACGTTTGTCTATATTAATGTGCAATACTTATCTGCCGCATAATACTAAGCAATCCGGCCAATTATTGGATATGGATTCCCAATTTGGTTCACCATTTCGCCATCTGTAGAAATTAAGACGTTTGAGAGGAAAATTTTGAGAAAATGTGTTGGCCAAAACTTTCAAAGCCCAACTAAAGGTTCTCAATCTAGCACATTTACAGCACAGCCACTATTGTGCCATTTTGCAACTATGCCCTAAACCTACAAAGAAGATTCGTAGAATACTTAGCTGCACATGACAACATTCTGTTGAATGAATTTTTTACTGCTGAAGAGAATACAAAATAGACAGAAGCTGCTTACCTTTCAACTATAGGTATCATAAATGTAAGATTTGACAATGATTCTGGGCAATATTCAACACCAAAATATTTCACCAAGACAATACCTGGAATGAACAGGGGATAATAGTATTATATAACATATCTGTGATATTTACATTACTAGGCTTAAGATTTCCCAAAACAGTACTTTATTTTATTGTGTATGTCACTTCCTTTGTCATAAGGTATCGAAAATGTATAATCAGCATACTTTGCAATCATTGTTTTTATTTGGAAATCTCTTACGATGTTATTGCATATGCAACTTTTAATTTGTAAGTATGTACTTTATTTTATGTTCGCCGTTAGTCAATAATTTAACGAATGTTTTTATTTATTTTAGCTATAAGTTTTCATTATTTGTAAGATTTTTGCAGACAATTCGCTCTGCAAGTCAATTGAAAGATTGGGAGCAAATCCTAAAAAAATCACGTTTGCCTTAATCATTTTTATTACATTTTCCTTTTGACATTTTCCTTTTGGAAAAGGATTATAGCAAGATCTATTAATAAGGTCACCAAGATAGCAATCGAAATCGGAAAACAGCTGTTTTTTCTCAAGTCTAATGTCAAAACAAGATCCATGGCCTATAAATAAGGTCACCAAGGGAGACCAGCTGATTATCGATACCTCTCAAGTTTGCTGTCAAAATGCATTATTGTGAATTGACTTCCATTATGAAAACGTAAACAAAGTCGAAATTTTTTTGTCTTGTCAAGATCTATTAATAAGGTCACCAAGATAGCAATCGAAATCGGAAAACAGCTGTTTTTTCTCAAGTCTAATGTCAAAAATTTCAAAAATTTAGAGTAAGTTAAAGGGACGTGCTTTACTTTAAAAATTTTCAATTTTCCGAATTCGGGACGAAACTCTGCACACGTTTCTGGTTCTGATGCTGAATTTGTACCGAATTCGGAACAACATTGTTTGTAGCTGCCAACGAATTCGGAATGTTTTGTCGAAAAAAATCGGAAGGAACATTCTAAACGAATTCGTAAAGTAACTTCGAGACCAAAACACGAAATTTTGAGGGAATTTTCGATTTTCTGCACAAAATATTCGAAAATGGGCAGAAATTAGAGGGATTTTCGGACAATTTTTAAGAAGTTTAAATACAATTAGAGTTTTCGATAGGGTGCTGAAATTTTGCATAGGTGTTATGTTTCCTCCTTCAAAACGTGTCGGTCCCGGCTAATTTGTGAATGGGTCGTGGTTCAGCAACCCTATGACACTTGAGGGCATAACAAGTAAACGAAAAACTGCAACAAAATGGACTAAACATACTAAAACAATTTGAACCAATAACCAACATTTTCGGGGGTCTAGAATACTAGCCCCCTTCATCACCCACCCAACCTAATGTTCCTCAGAACCTTTTTTAGCACCAACGACATATATTCCTTTGCCGCTACATATCCATCCTTATCCCTTTTCCCCTTCCTTCAAGACAAACTAACACATCATTTTCAATGCTAATCTTACATTTATTACATATTAAAATTCTTAAACATACTAATTCATATAATATTAATTTTCTTTCATGAAATTTGTTTTCTTTTTCTTTTCAGATTCAACTACAAATATTTAATAATAAAAAAAAACTTTAAAATTACAAAATTAAATTTAATATTTTATAATGCATTGTTTTTGTTTTAACACATTGGAAAATGATAAAAAAAATGAATTTGAAAATTTGCCTGGGTCTAACCTTAAATTTGTTATGTCCTACTTTAGAAATTCCTCACCAGTTAGAGCTCCTCCTAGTAATTATTTCTAATGGACTAACTTGCCTTGTTTAAGAGTAGATCCCTAATGCAATGAATTTAATTACAAAGTATATTATTAAAATTAAAATAAACAAGCAAAAAAATATATATATATATATATATATATAAACTTAAAAGTAACAGAAAGCTAACTAGGACACACACAGACGCACAACAAAACATAAACTCGCCAATATCGAGCAACTCCTTAAAATATGCTATCACTTAGCTGTTTGTTTTTTTGGATCCACTCTACCACAACTCTCAGTCGGTGGACGAGTTCCACCTTATCCACACGGTGAGCCACGGATACAAAGGTGCGCACCAAAATCCGGCGTACCACGTATGAAAACGCTTTGCTCCGATAATTTGAATTTTGTGGTTTCGTTATATTTGGCCAAAACAAGTCGCTCTATTTAGAAAATACACCACATCAGAAAAAACACAGACCTTTTAAATCAAACACACTTACATTCAGATATATTACGCACAAGTTAAAACCAATTATTCAAACTTTTATTTTGTTCCAAAAGTTGACTTTAAAATTGTTTCAAAATTTAAAACGGGTTTCAATGATTCCAAATCTTTAATCGTTAACCGTATGTGATATATATGTGTGTATTTATTATTTTTTTACTAATCAAGTAGAAATGAGTTGCTGCTTTTTCCACGACTTCTGAGCAAATAATTTGTATCGCCATATCCTCCAGCGTAGAAACTCACGATCATTGGTTGCTTTTCTCAAGTTATTTATTGGAGAACATCATACTCTCTGGAGCCCTTAGAATGGTTCTCTATTACCAACAAAATGTTCATGCTTGAACAACGGTCCAAGTTCAATGGTCGCATGGCCTTGAAATGTTCATATTTTTTTGGCTCATTTTACGTGCGTAATTCTCTTACGCACGCTCTTCTATACCCCTACCCAACACATAACTCCAATACACAACCTTTCCAACACTGGCCTGTCAAAACGAACAAGTTCCACAAACAGCTGTTTTCTAAACACAGGCGATTTTTCCCTGGCTTTCTAACGAGTGTACATCTGTTGCTCCACGGACTCGAACATTCTTCAATAACCCCAAGCCTAATCATTTCATCCACTTCAGCGTAAATAAGGTTCTGCACCGCTGGAGAGACTGGATAGTATCGCTCTTTAACTGGCTGTGCTCCCTCGATTAAGTCTATTTTGTGTTTTTCTAAATGTGTTCTACCCAAACCATGTTCTTCATAGGATTTGAAAGAACTTTTAACTTGGTTCAACCTCATGCGCATTTGTCAAGACATGCTCTGTATTCTCATTAAAATGGGCTGGATATTCTTCTAAAACCTCCTGACTAATTTCGTCCACTCCAAATATGTTAGGAGCGAGTTTAAAATTTTTAAAGAAATCCACGCCTAAATAGGCCGTTTGAACCAAATCGGGACATAGATAGAAGTCCATTTCCTTCTCTTCCTCTCCATATTTCACTTTGACACTAATTTTCCCCACTATTGAGAACTGATTTCCTCCTGCCGTCCCTATGGATGTACAGAAAGGTTTAACTTTGGCTTCTATCTGTTCAACTATTTGGTCACAATCCTTACCCAAAACGCTTACGGAAGCTCCCGAATCTAAAAGCCCTTTTACATTGAGGTTTTGAATTTTAAAATTTATATATGCTCTATTATCTACTGAATCTATCTTTAAGGAACAACAATTTAGAACCGATCTCTTAACTAACTTACACTCTTGTTTCTTATGCTTAAATGTATCTCTAATCTTTCTAATCCTATTTATTTTATTATTATTAATGAGCCTATTTCCAACTTCACCAATGCTTTCTATTTGTTCGGTTTGTGGCTGTGTATGAATATTTTCATTTATATTAATACTTAATGTATCCTTACTTTGAATTCCTTTACCACCAAAAATCTTGTTTCTAACCTTCATATAATTTTCCAATCTTTCTTCATATTGTACTATATTATGCCTCTTTGGAATCTTATTAATACTCTCTCTTTCTACTTCTTTTGTCCTTTTCAGTATGGTGATCGGACTTGGAGAATCAATTCCTAAAGTGGACAATCCAGTCCCATTTATTGGTCGGGAGCAATCACAGAGCGCGTCTCCCCCGACTTCGACACGCCCTTCATTCCATTTCCCAGACATTTTGGGCAGGTGGGGCAGGTAAACCCTGGACATCCGCATCTGTAACAGAAGAGATTACGCTGTGGGACTGGACACTCGAAATACGTATGCCCGGAGGCTTGACAGTTCCAACAGGTAAGTGTATTCTGTCTCTTTTCCGCTGTCCGTTTTTGGTTCACCTCTTCGACTATTATTAATTCTTCGTCCATTTGATCTCCCAGCTGTTCATCCAGATAAACCTCGTTCACCGGATATTGGCGGCGTGTTTGTTGTGGAATTTTGACAGTTGGGAGAGAGTATTTCTCCTTTTTTAAATAATTTTTCTCCAATTCCTTACATTCATCTCTCAATTGATCAATTGTGTATATTTTCATGGCATATATAATATGGGATAGGTCTGGACGCAAGTTTCTCTTGACGATCCTTATCATGTCTGTTTCTGGCAGTGGTGTTCTTAATTTTGACCTAAGCTTTTTCATTGCATGAAAATAGTCATCAATTGATTCACCTACTTTCTGTTTCCTTTCTTCTAAATCTCGGAGATATTCATACTGGCTACGACTTGATTTATATTGTTGCATTAAAGCCTCTTTTAGATCAGTCCAATTATATATATCTTGGTTTGCTATCAGTACCCAAAACCACTCTTTTGCATCTCCCTTCAGTAGTAGTTGGAAGTCACGAATCACCTCACTCCATGGGCACCCGTATACACGTTGAAGATGTTCAATTCTGAATATAAAGTCTTCAACGTCTAATCCATCTGATCTACCATCGAATGAGATGTTCCATTTGTCCACCACGATGGGGTATTTGTTACCAATAGCTGCTGCTGTTTGTTGTTTGGTAACAGGCATTCGATAATTATATTCCGGTTGATCGAATTCTAACCTTCGCTGAGCAGCATTTTCGTTGGAATGTCTGGCCTTGATCGGGGCCCTATTTACCTGATCCTGTCCTCCAACTAAACCATATAGCCTGGACGAGCCTATACTACAGTTTTCTAATTCGGAATCATTTTGCCTACTGCCTATACTTAGTTTAGCGATTTCCTTCTGTATGTGCTCAAATCCTGCCTGTATGCTCTGTTGGATTCTATCTTCTATTCTTTCCTCCAACTGAGATCTATAGGTATTGTTAGCCTCTTTTATTAATGAATTCACCATTGCGGCGTATTTTTCAGGACTACTCCTAGGTCTGTTTGTCGAAAGTGGGATAGTCGGTGGTGGTCTTGTGAAGTCATGTACAGGACTTGGTATACTGATTGGGTTATTTTCCGTTACCGGTTTCTGATTACCCCCAAATGGTCCTTGCAAT